TTATACACTGTATCTTACAAAATAACTCTATAGCAATATTAATAAAATTTATGTTGGTAGTAAAGTTGGCTAATGTATTTATATACATGTAAGTCTTTTGGTCAAGTTCAAAATCATAATTTTCAAAGTAGCACACAGCACATTTACTTTAAGGCATGGTCACATTAATTATTAAGTTCCTGCTCATCCACATTGGATCAAATTTTCATGGCGCACTAGCAGTACTGCTGCTCATATCTTTCTTTGTATAATGGTAATAATGAAACTTAAGTCAGTACTGTACATTAATGGGGGAAGCCACTACAGGTCAATTTGATTTGCATGTAGCATCCAGTGGATATCAGACAGGATCAAATAGTATGAGAAGTATTAGTTCCACATTATCTTTAGATTCAGTAAAAAAGGACTCCAAAGATAAGACATTGAAGTAGTAGATGTTAAGTACATTAATTTAAGTTTATACCAATTAACAAAATACATGTACATTTTTGGTGCACAAAATTTCAAAATGTCAATTCGCTAGCATTTCTTTGTCTGTCTGTCACTACTATAACATACATGTAACATACATTTTATTTTTCCAAATTTATTTCACAATGTTATTATTTTACTAAGCGTGCTGTTTAATTCTATTTTTAAATGGAACGTGGCCTGACCAATGAAATTCCCAAAAAATTATAATACCTTCAAAATAAAACCCACAGTATAAAGAAGAGGATGTACATGTACATGTACACTTACTCGGCCAGTGAGTCCCTGTATCTCCAGTTCTTTTCATTCTCAGTGTCCAGGATCCCATTTAATATAGAGGGGAAGTTCTCCTTTCTAATGTCAGAGGGTAACATCTACATGTACATGTATAATGATAAATAATATAATGATGGAAAATATTAATATAATACGTTTTAAAAGATATATATGTACATGTTATTAGTTTATTACCGTATAGCGGAACATTTTGGAGGGACTAAAATTTGGCGAATTGCTAAATTTTGGTGATTGGCAGATTTTAATTTGGCGAATTGGTGGCCACGTGCCATTGAGCATGCGTATAATGGCTCAAAATGGCGGATTTAATTTTGGTGAATGGCTATCAAAACGCCAAATTCGCCAAATTTAATTCCCTCCAAAATTTCCCGCTATGCGGTATTTTTAATTGGCACATAACATGTACATGCACGGGATATAGTACATTTTGTACATGTATGTGTACTCCCATCTCTCATTTATATAACTCAATTTATCTATAAATGCAGTCAGTGTACATGTATGTACATGTACATATGTACATATTAGTGTATATGTACATGTACCTCAAAGAACTCCGATAGATGAGCCAGTACTCCAGTCTTCACATCATCAAGGTCCTTTGTAGCATACTCATTCACTACAGACAACAGATCAGAGACTGTTCTATTGGACCCTAACATCTGAGCTATCTCATGGATACTGTGAGCTAGGACACGCCTGATCTTCCACTGGAGGGAGGGAGAGGGAGAGAAATAATTTAACAAGGAAAATGTACCACATGTACATATATACATGTACCTAGAGAAGATTATTTTTGCACTCTATAGAAGGAAATTTTGGAGGGAGTTAAATTTAGCAAAATGCTAAATTTTGGTGATTGGCAAATTTAATTTCACGAATTTGTGGCCACGTGCCATTGAGCATGCGCATAATGGCTCAAAATGGCAGATTTTTAATTTTGGTGAATGGCTATCAAAATACCAAATTTGCCAAATTTAACTCCCTCCAAATTTCCTTCTATATGGTACATGTAAAAAAATTACACTTGTGCTTAAAATTTTTGTTGTCAATTTTTTAAAGCAAATTGGCTCAAAAATGTCATATTTGGTCCAATACAATTACAATGTACATGTACAGTACATAATAGCATATCAGTATAATTATAATGTGATACCTGCATGTCAGTGGAGAGTATATCAAAGGTTGGTTTGAGTAATGACCAGTGGTTGGGTCCTAGGGTTTGTAGTACTGCAGG